AGCAGAATCAAATTTATAATGCAAATCATTATTGTGCAGAACTATGAAGCCTCAAAGCCGAGTCGGAAAATTTCAAACAACCTCTTCCAACTTCCTCGTGTTATTTCTGGAAACAGAACTTCAGCCGGTACATGCAGTAATTATGGAGATACAGCATGTGGAGCGTTTTAAAGGGGGACGCCGCAGATTTCTTTCAGTTCACTCGTCGGGGACAGTGATACTCAGCCTGTGAGAATCTTTTGAGGTTGTGGAGGGAGCTTTGTTAAGATATCCTGTTATACTGGATATCGGAAAGATGTGAGCATTTACGAGGCAGCGAGGGCCCAAAGAAAAGATGCTATCAATTGCATTTAGGGACTAAAAGTCAGGACATCTCGGCCTTTACTGTACTGATTGTTTTATAGTCTGTGTCTTGCGAGTCGCCGAACTTTATGGAAGAGAAAAACAAAACTGCTGGATCACTCTTTTAAAAGGAAGCACTCTGCACGCGGGGCTTCTATGCACGGACGTAATACTCAAAGCTATTTTTTGAAGCTCAGCAATCACTAATAGGCGTGACATTACTGTCTTCTCTTTAGAAAAGATAAAGGCAGCTGATCAACTATTGAGCCCAAAGCTGAGATTGCATTTTAAGCCCTTACAGTTATTATATCAGCATTTATGCGCCCGCCACATTCCCCCTCCCCGCTCCGTCTTTTCTTATCCTGCCTTCTGTTCCTTCTTCTCCTGTCTACCCTGCGTGACCTCTCCTCTTGTTTCATCTGTGAGATCCATACACGTCAGATTATATTTATCACGCTTCCACTTCTTTATCTCGGTGAGTCTAATGGCTCCAGCCGTTTTGTCTCCTTTCTTTATTCAGTAAAGTGCACGTCTTTGATGATGCCCGGCTATGCTGAGTGTTTCTGGGCATGTATCTTTTACATGAGTGTACATTTGCATGTTTGCTTGCGTGTGTGTGTGTGTGTGAGAGAGACAGTCTCGCTCCTGCGTGTGCTCTCTTTGGGGATATTTTGCTGCTGTAACGGTCTGAAGTACAAATCTACAAAGGCCTTCATCGCCGCGAACTGGAGAGAAGCAACGAGACACGCAGACACTCAACAGGGAGACCGACTGCTGTTCTGATTGACAGGCTGAGGCGTGTGTGGACGGGCGCGTGGTAGAGAGGGAGAATAAAGAAAGAGCGGGAAATTATGTCAGGTATACACGGAGCTTAATTAATTGGAGTAGGAAACCTCATCTCCTGTCACTAACAGAAGTACCCTGAGGCCATTAGAATTCTGTTTCTCTCTAATACACACACACACACACATTAAACGACCAGCACCCACCTCTGCACCTTGAGTCTGACCCTCTCTCCCTGGAGTTGCTGTGATTTTCTGCACCGACTTGATATTTGCACGCCTTGTTAGAATACTTCTACCTCCAATATTCAAAATCCAACTTCTGTCCAATCATCTGCAGGCTCAGTCCGCAGCGATGACCGACAGACCGACCGACCGACCGACCGACTGACTGCAAACGTCTTGTGGAGCACCGTACGCTGTCGGCCGTGATAAAAAGCCCCAGGAGCTGTTTGTTTTACAGGCAGGCTGTACTTCCAGTGATTACAGCGTGTGACCTCTCACCAAGCTGTTGAGCTGCTATCAATTGTGGCTATTCCAGCTCAACCACGGAGGACAGTTAGTGCTTTTTACTTTCAGCCGTCTATGCCACACTCACAGGATAGTGGTCAGGGACATGCAGATAATGGATATGTCAAGTAGGCAGGTCATGTAACTAGCCGTGCGCCACTTTTCTCCGTTTGTACAAGCTTTGTGGATCAACCCAAAGATTCAGTTTATAGCTAATATTAATGCTTGACCCTCATCCAGGCTGTATCTATGAATTATCTATTCAAGGTGAGAAATCGTAAATTATTAAATGTTTGACTTTATGATCGTTTTTTCACGTCTTCAGTGCGATCAGACCAAAAAAAAGAGAAATGGCAAAAAACGAAGGGGAATAAAAGACGAGTATCTGTGAAGGTGTGTTACTGTGCAGCAGATACATTCAGACGTTCTCGTGTCCAACAGGTCGTGTCCTGAACTGCACCCCTGCCTCACTTCATCAAGTCTTCTCCCCCTGTCTCTGTCTCTCTACCGATCCCTGTTCTTGCTTGTTCCTTTTTTTTTTGTTGTGCACGACGTCTGAATCAAAGTGCGAAAGAGGAGAATAGAAAACAGGTATCTCATTCAGTCTGCTGAATTCATGAAAAGAAAGACGAGATTTTTAGAAATCGAAAAATTTGACTGACAGCTACGAACTTCCAGTCCTGCACCGGCTGCTTAATGGGATAAAAAACATTAAAGAGAGGAGACCGGAAACGGAGGGGGAAAAAAAAATAAAAAAGAGGGAGGTAGAGATGAACAAAAACACAATTTGCTCAAGTTCATTCACATATTTTCTTGTGTCATTCCACCTGCTGCACTTATCGTCACTTCAGTTCACTTTAATTTAATCTCATTTGCACAAAAATGTATTTTTTTCAGATTTCCTGCCAGAAAAACCTTGGCACACCCATATTATTAGATGTACAGTGTAACTGTGATTCTAACAGAGAATATGGTGATTTAGAAAAACCCAAACTATCAATACAGACATATCTTCAGGGCAAATTCATCATCTACGATTCAATTTTCCTTTCAAGAGTCAGGCCTGGAAAAGATAATGTGTATCGAGTGCTATAACCAATGTGACTGACCCATAAAGATGATCCATAACCACAGGGAATCAAGACTGATCCAGAAAATAAACCAGGGAAACGAAACCTGTTCTCTCCTCCTTTCATTTTTGTTCTTGTCTGTCTTTTCTCTTTTATATTCCATCCTTTTGTCACTTTGACTTGCTGTTGTATTTAATTCCTCTTTCCTCGTTTCCTCCACAGCCTCAATAACAAATAACTGAATCAAATTTGCTGTTTTATAGCAAAGGTTATTTACCCAAGAAATGTTTATTGTACAAAACACTCGATGATAAACAGACACACACACACACACACACACAGGCTGAAGTTTATGGCCGAAGTCTGATCAGCGAAACCTAACTATACCCTTACCATTCCTAAAAAACGCCCGAGGGAGCACTCTACACTGACAGCTCTAACAAGGCGCTGTGCGTATATTTATGTGATTGTGTGAGTCTGTGTAAGAGTGTGTGTGTGTCTGTGTGACAAAGGATACCAAAGGATACAACCCTGTAAAAAGAATCTAATTAAAACTCTATACAGCCACGAGGGACGGACTGATCCCTCCCTCTCTCATTTAACTATAGTGAACACTTCAGCGGGAAGACTGTTCACCGACTGAACGCTCTATCCTCCGGCCTCTGAGGAGACACGATAGAGATACAGAGGAGGATAATGGGAAAAGGTGATCCACGGATTAAGGACGTGACAGAGGCTGTCACACAGCGGGAGGGGAAAACACTCACCGAGCCTTACAATGATAAGCTCCTGTGTGACATTTGTTAATATTCACGGGTGTAAAAATGAACTTCTGCAGCAGAATGAAACTTGTAGATGATCCAATGCAAATAAATGAACTGGAAAATCATTTTAGAAAATCAATGGAAACGTGGCAACGATCAGCAGGAAATAGGTCGTTCTTACTTAAATATTGTCTAAATAACACGTCTGTCCTTTAAACACTGTGACATAATAAACAGCCGACTGTGTCTGGGATTACAGCTACTTATTAATTGAATGTTTAAGGGGCTGTGCCTGTTGAGAGATGGAAGTACTCCTGCAGACTGACTGAACAAACCGCACATAAAAAAAACTGTTTCCCCCAACTGGCAGAGCTGTTTTACTCCGAGACTTCAACCCCGCAAATAGTTTCAGAGCGTCCATTGTTCTGATATGAAAGCGAACACAGAGAAGCCTGTACTGTTGAAATGCAGAGACATTTGGGCTGAATGGGCCAGAGAAGCAGAGGAGAGAAGTGAAAAGGGCAAAGTTTGTGTGAAAGTCTGGATGGAGAGACACAGGAAACACAGACCATAGAGAGAAAAAAGGAGGGAAGTGAACAAACAAAACTTTAGGTAAACCCAGATTCATACGAGTTTCATTATCGATCTCAGATGTGTGTCGCAAACATCAAACATGAAAAAAACCTCCAAGACTGAACAAGTGGATCTGAACCAGATGAGCTCAGCTCGGCCTTTATTTCTTCAGATCAGTGTTTGAAATGTCAGGTGAGCAGAATTATCATTTGTAGCCGACAGCTGCTTTTGCTGGTTTAAATGACAAACGTCAGATTATGACAGTGCTAAAAGTTACTTGCTATAAAGCAACAATCAAATGTGGTTTAATGTGCACTCTTAAAAAGGAAGTTTATGTTCTTAGCCAAAAGGGGAAGTTGTTAGTTAGATGAAAACACGCTCACAACACCAGTGACGTGGACAGTTTTGGGGGTGATTCCTGTGTAATGTGACGATGTAACTGCCTCAGGTCATTCCAGGTGATAGAACCTACCATTAAATCTTTCAATCATTGAGTCTAATTTCTTAATTAACGGTTTAGAATCATCACTAAGTCACAGAATCAGAAGAAAGGTAGTTTGTTTGAAACATATTTAATATATATTAAATATATTTAATCGTCTGCTCTTATGTTGAGCCGCTCGTCTCATTTTCAAGTTGTACCTGCAGCAGTCGACAGTAATTAGGCTTCATCACAAAAACTGTGTTCTGAGCCCACGATTTCAAACAAATCTTTGTTTTAGATTTTTTTTTTTCCCCAGTCAAATAGATTTAAATCATCAAAACACGGTTGAACTCTAACCTCAGCTACAACACAGATCACTTAACGAAGCTCCTCAAAGGGTCTGAGAATTTCTAATGCACATCAGTCATATTTAATTATGAATAAATACACTGCATGGTTGGATTCTGACACTAATTAGTGTGTGTGTGTTGGTTTCCTGCCAAACCTTTCAGAAAAGGAAAATGTTTGTCTTTACCTGAGATGCTCAGGTAGACAGCGGGACTCGTCACGTTCTCCCCCGTCATCTCGTTCACTGCCTCCACGTGGTAACGTCCTGCGTCCGTTGCCGTGGTTGCCAGGACGACCAGCTGATTGTCCAAAGTGAGTGCTCTGTAGGGCAGAGACACAAGACGCGAGACACACGAGAGAACAAGGGATTAGTGAGCACAGAGCTAGCAGCAGAAAGGGGGGAGGCACGCCTCGGTCTAGTTTTTCGTCTCAGACAAGAACACAGCTCAAACTAAGACTCTGACATGAGGAGAGTATTTGGTACATGGATCGTTTAGCATTCATAAAGGGGGGAGGACACGTTGAATACAAGCATCAGAAAGGAAAGAGGATTCAGAGAGCTTAAATAAATCTCTCCTCCTGTCTCAGATTGATATGTGGCTCATTTTGTGGCTCTTTCATTCTTCTGGCCGTTCTCGTCGCGTACTATCTTCTGTTCTTCCGTCTCTTCACTGATCCATCCTCATTTCCCCCCACGTACCCGCAGCAATCAATACAGCATAAACATAAACGCTACACAAGGACACACACAATCACTAACACAACTGTCTCACTGTCCTCACATGAGCACACAGAGATAAGAAACGATCGCTGACAAACAGACTGTGTGTTGCTGCTGCATTTTAAATGAGCGTAATGGGAAGGAGTTGATTTTGTAGGGAGACAGTGTGGTTAGAGAGGAGGAGAGCAGGAGGGAGACGGGGAGGGGAGACATTTGTTACGCTGGGATTTTCATGTTTTTCTTACTACAGCAGACAGGAAGCACGGGTTGCTTTAAGTGACTTTGTGTTTTCACCTTGTCAGTGGACGGAAATCCCAATATTCTAACCTGAGAGCGTTCACCGGAGTAAATCGATACGACCGAAGGGAGAACAAAGCATATTAAAGTGAGATGACTGTCTTTTCTTCTTATAGACCCTGCACGGTCCTGTTACCCCATAACGCAATCACACCGTGTGTTCAGACTGCGAAGCCGTGCGCAAATAAGAAATAAAAGAAATGCAATAATTGTGTTTAAACTTTTGTTTTCAGGAAAGGACGCACACTTAGATTCTGGATTATTTTAAATGAAACATCTGCGTGTGTGTATTTTTCTGTGAGCGTGGTCGATCGGTGCTGAGCTGTCAGAAATGGGTGCGCTCCGAAACGAGGCCTGCAGGATGGACGTTGTTTCCACTCAGTTTACATCTGACCCCAGAACAGCATGACGCTTACTCAGACTTGAATCAACGGTTCTGTGTCGCAAGAAAAACCAAACAGTGTGTGTGTGTGTGTGTGTGTGTGTAAAAGCAGCATCGTAAACAACAGACAGGTATGAAAACATCTCTCAGGGCCTGTGGTGGCTGAGAATGAAGGGTAAGGTACTGAACTGTGTCCGCCGACAGCATCCAGCTGGGAAAGATCAAAAGGTTCACACGTCAAGTTCACCATCACATCTCCACGACTTGCTATTGTTTGATTATTGGATGATGTACAACTTCAGTGAATGTGAGAGTGTGGAGAACAACCGATGTGATCTCCCAGAATCCATACTCCTTAAAAAGGGGATTGATTACACAAGAAACCTCTGGATGGATTACTGCGAATCTAAGTGGACGGATGAAAGACTTTGGGTAAAGGAAGAACCCATTAAATGTTGGCTTAGACCTGGATGATGGATTTTTTTTTTCACTTTCTTTAACGTTGGCTGCAAGATTTATTTATTTTTGACGTTTTCACCGATTTCCCCGGAAATTATTCACGATGAAACGGAGGGACAAGATGAAGACACCTCGTCCATCTTTACACAGAACCTGCGAGTGCAGCCATGAACATGATCAAGTACATGGAGGTGTTTGTGTACGAACTACTGGTTTGAGGGGGAGATGTGAAGAGAGGAGAAGCGAGGAGAAGAGGAGACACACACACACACACACACCCACACATACAGATAGAAACTCCTCAGGTCTAATTCTATTCGGGGTGATTTCCCAGGAGAGCATCCACAACAGCTCAAGCCTCAACCCCAACACTGACACGCTATTTGAGCGAGTGCATGTCTGTGTGTGCATGTTGCATGTATGTGCATTCAACCACGTCTAAATGCCTACAATAGAAGCTTCAACCGTTCTCTCACTTACTCCGCAGTAGTAATAGATTCTGCATCCTCACAAAGGTCCGTAATGCAATTTATGGCTGTTAAGCTCATTAAGTGCACTGACCAGCCCATTTTATCACGTCTGTTTTACCCGGCACACGCTGATTAATGGACGGTGAAGGCATGTGTCCACGTGCCTGTGCTGTGTAACCGAGGTGAGAGTCTGGGAGGCTGGAGAGTGTAAATCCACTAACGAGAAGCTGTTTAAAGTATTTGTTCGTGTAGTATTTCTGCCCATTTACATTTTCAATTTTATATGAAACCTTCACATGTGGAATTACTCGTGGTGATGGCTGCAGCGATTTGCTTCACACTTTTCATTCGTACTTAATTGGGAGCTCTCCGACTCGATTTCCCATTAAATCTTCACACTTTCATATGGAAAAGGCAACAAATTGGGAAAGGATTGAAATATGCCAATACGAACTCCAGATTAGACGACTTCCATTCAATTGGAATTCCATTGAAAAAAATAAATAATGTGTCCCCATTCGTTCAGAGTAGCTGGAGGGTGGTTACACAATCGTATCCTAAGAGTTGCAATATAGTCAAACACACACACACACACACACACGCATACATATATCCGTGCACGTCAACAGCCCGTGTGCGCCTTTTCATTCTGACTGAATGTCAATGTGGTAGAGATTTAATATAACATAAATTCAACATGCAACTTTCAGCTCTCTTTTAGTTCTACATTTAATTAAACTGGACAAAATTGTTCTGGCTTTTAATTAAAGACAAACTCAATTTTAAAACTGCGCATGACTCTGCATTCTTATGTGTGTGTGTGTGTGTGTGTGTGTGTGTGTGTGTGTTTGTGTGTTTATCCCCAGGCAGAAGAGGCAAATTAAATGACAGTAATCAACTAGATCCTATTCCCTTCTCCTTCGGCATTCCTCCCTGTATCCCTCACCCCCTCTCAAATAATAAAAAACAGCCTCTCTCCCTCTTTCTCTCCAATTCCATTTTCTGTTCTTACTTAGATTACAATCTGCACATTTCTTTCTTGGTTTCTTCCAATTTTCTTTGCATTTCTCTCTCTCTCTCTCTCTCTCTGGCCGTCTCTCTGTCACACCATCCTTCCCCCCTCACTACACCCGTCCTGTCTCACCTCCTATCTCCTCCCTCCTGACTTCTTTGAACCAAAGCACAGAGCCAGATTGGTCTTTCATTTAGTGTCTGGCCCCAAGACTCATTTTATAAACACTCATGGGTGTCTCTACTGCAAGATTGACTTCTGAATGCATGCGTGCACACACACACACACACACACACACACACATGCCAAAAGCTAATTACCACACACATGTCGCAGGCCAGAGGATGAATGAGGGAGAACAAGTGTGTTTTCTGATATCTAAGTTCGTCTAAGTGCATGAGTCAGATCTGGGGACTGAGTCTTCTGCCAGCAGAACCTCGGGCCTGTCTGGCCCTCCTCTATTTCTCATCGGCAGCGTGCCACCTTCTTCAAGCCACGCGTCTGACACACAGAGGCTCGGTGGTACAAGAGTGTTGCAGTCGGGCAGAAGGAGGGATACTCGACTGTAAACTGAGTCCAGACAGCAGGCAGCTTCATCTCCAAACCAAGTACCAGCGCACCCACCCACCCACCCACCCACCCACACAGACAGACAGAGTGTATACATACACACGCACCTTCTCAAACAGCCACTCACACAGCTGGGAGTATTCACAGTTCCCCGTGGCCGTTTAAAGTGGATGTTTGCGTTTCAGTCGGTGGACACATGAATACAGCCTCTGTGGGACTGATTGATGGTTAACGTACTCAAGCTTGTACCTGCTGAAGGCCACACTGTGTGTATGGAAAAATATCCTGTTTAACGTTAGAATTTACTGATGGGAAATGTTGCACTAACAAGGCCGAGGTGTTTACCATGTTCGTCGGCTTAAAGTCCACTAAATATGTTTTTTTCTCCATCTAGATTCATAAATTATTCCCTGGAAAAAATTCAAACTCCATACTTCATTTAATCAGTTCTTCCCCGACTGCTACAGCATCCAGTGATTTTGTGTAACGCTGCTAACATACAAACACCAATGACAACACAACCTCCTTGGAGCTCGTAATTAAAGAGTAACTATAACCAGCCAAGGACGTCATGTGTCTGCCCTTGTCCATTAATTCGTTTTTCTGTTTGTTGGCAGGGTTAACCAAAAAATACAGATTTCAAAAAAAATCTCTATAATTCTTAAGGGTCTCAACCTTCTATGTAAAGTGCCTTGAGGTAATGTTAATTGTTGGGCTTTAGAAGAGAAATGCGCTCTTGCCTGAGACACTTAAGGTTTGAATGCAGAGTGGATGACAAAGCATCTGCACAGCGTTCATCAGTAAATGCTATAAAAGCTCTGCAACTGCAAACCGGTAAGAAAATATAACGAGTTCCTCAGTAGAAGAATTATATATAATATTTTTTTCACTTGACTGTTTCGCAGACTTTTAATGTGGGTTACTTTTTTTAACCCTTGAAGACAGAAATAAACTTTGTCTTGTCACTTATTTGGACTTCATGAGGAAAACACTTGAGTCACCCATCAAGAATTGCTCATTTCTCTGTTCGCCTCTTTCACTTCGCTTGTTTAAAACTCAGCGTGAACACGGAGCTCTGGTAGTTTAGTATTTTTTCACTGATTTCAAAGGAATGCGCTCCCTCGTGTCTGATGACAGCGCCTGACAGGAAGTTCCTGTGGTGATGTTTCTAGGGTAAATTGGGCACAAGGAGAAGCTGGGAGCGCTTCGATGACATGAGGTGCTCCACACTGCTGTAATGTAATAGTACAATGTGAGGCAAGAAAGAGGAACGATTCTGGTAGCAAACAGAGAAAAGACGAAACAAAGAGGAGAACTTTTCCAACAACAGTTTCACATAGTTGGAAAATACGACAGATCTGTTTTTGTAATGGGATTAAACAGTCTAACTAAGTCAAGCCTGAGGACTGT